TTTCCCCAATCAGTGCATCGTTTGAATGAATCACAAGGCATGTTGATATTTGAATTTCATTTACTATACGAAGCCATGTGTTAGTATTAACAATAAAACCATGATGTTATATAGTCGGCTGTTGGTAGGCCTTGTTTTCTATCTATATGATGATTGAATAATGTGGAATATTTATGTTTTGATTAAGGTAGATAAAAAAAGACTTGATTAGAAAGTATTAAAAATATCTTTTTTATTAGATTTAAATGATAATTTGACTCTTAATAGGACAATTGAGAAAAATAAATCATGTAGCCCACCCATATGGTGGGATAAAGGCTTTTTTGTTGTTGTTTTTTTATTGATCACTCATTGGGTTTTTTAGCTTATTATTCTTTCATCTATTCATTGAAGAAAAGTGTAGATAATACATATTGATTGTTATGAACGATGCTATTGGAAAAAAAGGCTATTCAAGTTCAGTTTGCCAATGGAATATTAAAATAAACTCTTACTGGATGATTACATGCGGTTTAAAATTGCGCAATATGAGGCTCGCCTTGTGGCCCGCCTTTGCGCAATTCTAGAAAAAAATGCCTCGATGCTTACGCCTCAAGTTTTTTTATGAGGCTTGCGCCTCAACTTTGTTGAGGCCCGCCTTGAGGCCTGCCTGGCCTCACTGGCATGAGGCTTACGCCTCACGCAATATATTAATACATAAATCTTGAAGTAAATGCCCGACACTGGACTCTATAGGAGAGGAGGAAGGGGGAGCGAGCAGTTCATCATAATGATGATTCAAATGAAGAACCCCTTAGTGATGACAGTGCTAATGACTTATGAGTTCTTATGTGATATGTCATTGCTATTTATTTTTGGAAATTTGAATTATATGTTAATGAAAAAAATACTGAGATTTGGGAAAGATAGAATTTTGAGTTGAACTATATTTCATGTTGTCTTATTATTGGGATATTTTGATTTCACTTAATATCTTATGCTTTTTTATGTTTTATATTATTCACTCATTAGTATATAAAAAAATTATCATTTTATGTTTACGCAATCTTTTGATTTTGAGGCTTACGCTTCGCCTCACGAATGAAAAACTTCTCAATACCCGAATACGCAATTTTAAACATATGACTGGTGTATAAAAATCTTCTTTGTAAGTTACTTTTTTTCAGTGCTATCGGTACTTGGTGGTTTAATGCAAGGTTTACAATTGTGCAATTGAGTGTTGAGAAGTTTTTTATGAGTGAGATGAGGTGTAAGCCTCAAGGTATTTAGAGGAGAAAGTCTCACAATTCAAAAATTGCATGAAGTTAAAATAAAGGTTGAAAGTGAATTATTAGCATCATAATCAAATAACATATTACAAAATTACATATTAACGTTTTAATGTATTAAGAAGTAATAAATTGACGTACATATTAAGTAATAAATTGCACAAGACGCAAATTATGAAGTTACAAATTGCGTGAAATAGATGTAATATATGCGTCAACATGCCATAGTAATATAAGTTATATTAATTAATTAAAAGTAACAAAATATATCAAGGCTAAGTTAAAGATTAACTATGTTTGTCACAAAATTTGATCATTCATTCCTAGTTTCATACTCTTCAACATTAAACTTTCAAAGATCAAATTAACAATATAATAACTCAGAAGTCATCACTTAGGGTGTGCTAATTGGATTCGTCGTTGCATCAAATGGCTTTCTTCCTTTCCTCATCATTTGTGGAGTCCAAGGCCTCTCGTTCTTCTTTTTTCATCTTTAATCTCAATCATTTTCCCATTCCTTAAATATTGTTAAACAACAAAAAATATGAAAAACTCCTCTTTTTTGTTCTTTTTATTATTGGCTTGTATTAGTTGCAAATGCTTTATTTCTATCACCATCAAAGAGATCAACATTTATATCTTCTTTTTATAAACTAGATGGTGTGACTTCAACTTCATCATACATGAACTATTCGTCATTCAATGGAATATCATCAGATAGCAATGGATCCTCATCATCTTTCAAACTTTTTTTTCAATTTTTGTACTTAAGTTTCAGGTTGTACATGATGTACATCAAAGAATTTATCATTAGATTTTTACATGATTTCTTCTTTTTGTGTGAATTTGATTATACATACATCAGTTGCATTCACATCCGTATGAAGAGCATGCAAACTCCAAAACCTTAAAAAAAAAAATATGGTAACTCCCGAGTGTCATAAACAAATTGTATACACCACTCAATTTAAGTATGAAGAAATAACATAATTGAAAAAAAAATGGAAAGTAGAAATTGCATCCAGCACAATAGGAACAAAAAAAAAAAAATGGAGATTTCGTTTTTGTATTTGTCTTTTGCTTACTGAGACCCCCCCCCCCCCTTTTTTTTTCTCGCCCCCCCCCCCCCCCCCCTTCATTATTTTTAAAAGGTACAAGTTGCATATTAGCATTTTCCCTTTCAGATGTGTTGGCAAAAAAGTATTTTCATGATGGTAAAGCCTTAAATTTATCTCAGGATTTGTTAATTTATATATTGCATATTGAAACTAGAGATTTAGATAATAGTCTGCAACATGTGAATGATGATAAAGTTGTAATACCCATTTATCATCGATTGTATCCTATATTTCCTTATAGTTTGTCTCATCTCCTCATAAAGTATAGGTTATCAACTCCTTCACTCCATTCATTGCTTTGTATATAAAATCCATTGCAAACTTCTTCTCTGTATCAAGCATCCTCAACGGTTGAACTAGTGGCTTTGTTGTTATTATTGCATATGATATAGTTAGATCTTTCGATCAAAAGAATTTTTCTAACCTCCTTTCCCTCAGCTTTCTTTGCTCAAGCTTAACTCAACTACTGAGTGGAAGTAAATATTGCTTTCAGAGGGTGCATGGCTTTTAGCATGCTTTATAGTGTCAAATAATCTGCAACAAATCTTCTTGCACCAGGTTGTTGTATCTCTTTCTTTGAAAGCTTCATCGTAATGATAATATATGACTTTGCTGATCTTCTTGGTTTTACTTTGTGCATTTTTGTGTTGTGGCAACTCACTTAGCTTCTCAAGTACGAGATCTATATAATGTACAACACATGGAGTCTAATATAAGTTCATTCTCTTCTGTAATAATTTGACTCTTGCTGCCTTGCAAGATCTAGCATTATTTGTTACAATTAGTACAACTAAATACTCTCCTATCTTCTTAATCACTCAATCTAGTAATCCAAAAATCTACTCTGCATCCTTCACTTGATCACATGTTTGTACAGACTTAAAGAAAATAGTTCCGTATGGAATATTAATAGCATGTTGATTTAATTTCTATTCTTAATGTCAGACCATCCATCAGATATCACAATAACCTCGGTCTTGTTCCAATTTTGCTTAATTTCTTCAATGCCTTTCTCTTTGTTGGCGAACTCCTTTAAAACTAACATTCTTAAATCATAGATGGACGAGGTTTTCAAGTCTCAATCATAAGCTCTGATGGAATGGATTATGGTGTAGTAGGAAGTAGAGATTGCAACATTAAATGGGAAAGTGTTCTCATAAAAAAAAAACTCCTTATATTGATACAAACACATTTGCGTGCCTCCCTGACAGTCTGTGGGGACAATATCTGTTATGCAGAAGGCCTATTTCGTTGCCTATCATCCTCTAGGTTGACGATGTAATGATGCATGGGACCTCTTGCACACCCCAGTTATTCATTGGTGGCAAGGATGATGACAAGTGCTGGCTACTACGCTCACTCCCATATAATAAGCTAGATTTGACATTGTTGACTTATTCATATATGATCTAATATCATCTTTTAGTATTTTTGGTACTTTAGCACATGGTGCCACATTTTTTTGTGATGTCCGGAGACGTGTTCCTTCATCCTTAGTACACCACCGTTAACTACCTTGTCACAATAATTGCATTTCAAATATACTTATGCTTTGTCACTTCCTCCTACATCAACTTGAAATGGTTTAAAATTGCGCAATATGAGGCTCGCCTTTGCGCAATTCCAATAAAAAACGCCTCGAGTTTTTTTTATGAGGCTTGCGCCTCAACTTGGTTGAGGACCGTCTCGCCTCACTGGCATGAGGCTTACGCCTCATGCTATATATATATTAAAACTTACATAAATCTTGAAGTAAATGCCCGACATTGGACTCTATAGGAGAGGAGGAAGGGGAGAAAACAGCTCACCATAATGATGATTCAAATAAAGAACCCCTTAGTGATGACAGTGCTGATGACTTATGAGTTCTTATGTGATATGTCATTGCTATTTATTTTTTGAAATTGGAATTGTATGTTAATGAAAAGAATACTGGGATTTGAGAAAGATTGAATTTTGAGTTGAACTATATTTCATGTTGTCTTATTATTGAGATATTTTGATTTCACTTCATATCTTATGCTTTTTTATGTTTTATATTATTCACTCATTAGTATATAAAAAATTTATCATTTTATGTTTACGCAATTTTTTGATTTTGAGGCTTACGCCTCAAAACGCCTTGAGGCTTACGCCTCGCCTCACGAATGAAAAACGCCTCAATACCCGAATACGCAATTTTAAACATTGAATACATCTACTCTCCTAAGCAAGTCATCGGAAGATGAACACTTTATGTGACGAAATCATCTAAAGTGACTCTCTCTAATCTTATCTGATATAGGAGCAACTCCAACATTTTCACATATATAGTGGTTTCGCATTCAATTTCTAAGTGTAAAGCCACTCATCCACCTAAGCATCATCATCGTTGCAACACTAAACTTAAAAAAGTAAGCTTCTCTTTTAATGGCCAACATGCAATAATTATAAAAGTGTTATTATTATTATTATTATTTTGATTGATATACTCACTTCAGGAAGAAGGTTGCCAGAATAAACTTTTTGGTGGACTGTAAGAACATAGTTTATACATTCGTAATTTGTTCTATATATATATATATATATATATTTGTGCTGTGTTGATTCCTTTGTCTAATACTATGGTCTTTAGGTTGGTATCCTTATTGGCAAATCCGGGGAAACTATTAGATTTCTTCAATTAAATTCTGGGGCAAGTATTCAGATCACAAAGGATGCTGACGTTGGTCAACTTTCTTCCACTCGACCTGTTGAGCTGACAGGGACTCCGGAAAATATTAATAAGGCAGAGCAGTTGATAAAAAATGTCATTGCTGAGGTTTGCTACTGTACTATGAATTGCTAATTTTATTGTCACCCATGTTGATTTGTAGTTGCTTATGTTCTAGAGGATTGGTTAAATATGGACTTTGTTATAATTTTCTTGTTAGGCTGATGCTGGAGGATCTCCGTCATTGGTGGCTAGGGGATTTAGTACTTCACAACCTGACAGTGAACAAATTGAGATACAAATACCAAATGGGAAGGTGCAGACCATATCAAACGTTCATTGCCATTTTCATTGCAGCCTTTTTCCTTAGCAATTTTTTTTACATTTTTTAGGTTGGAGTGATTATTGGTAAAGGTGGCGGAACTATAAAGAACATGCAAACAAAAACTGGTGCTCGGATTCAGGTTTTTTGAAATCTATTTTTAATTGATGAATAAGTGCTTATTTCTCAGAAATGTTGAAACTAAGGGCACCATAACTTTTAAAGATATTATGTACTGGTTTATGATATCATGCAGTTGATACCACAACATCTTCCTGAAGGTGATTCATCAAGGGAAAGAACAGTCCGGATAACTGGTAACAAAAAGCAAATTGAATCTGCTAAAGAATTGATCAAGGATGTTATAAACCAGGTCTGTAGGTCAATGTTTTTGTTTTATAATCTGTGTGCTCTAAATGTTCTCTTGATATCTCTGTTATAAGGTTGACAACTTTTTTGAGAGACGAAACAAATTATAGTGGTAAAAATTTAGTAGCAGTAGAGTTTTTTTTTTGCTTCTTCCCACCGTATTATGCAGAAGTCAACTATTGAGTATTAAACTATTTGTCACGAAGATTTTGATCTCTTGATAAAATCATTGTAAAATTAAAGTCTTTTTCTTTTAGTTAACTAATGGAGAGTCTTGAGGTGTCAATGTCCTTAATGTCCAGCTTCACAAAACAATTGTATAATGGCCTTCATGCTAGTAGGTCGTTCTTCTTTGAGCCAAAACTTGCAAAGTACTACTTACAATAGCTTGCTGGCTTAATTGATCTGAAGAGTGAGAATATGAATATAAACAGAGGGGAATGGTTAGATTATGATGGGGAGCTGGTGTTTGTGCGAAGGGATACACAAAACTTATTTGTTTTAAGAAATAAACCCTACCAATCATCATGAAATCATACTTATTTTGCACCAACTCTTTAACACCCAAGGCATATGGGTGACCCAAGGTACCATTTAATTGGCTTACGCTGTCCTCTTTGATCATGTGTGAAGTGATATTGTAAAAATATGTAGAGGTTGGTTGGTCAGCTATGTTTTGAGTATGAGTCAAAGTAAGTGTAGTTTTAACAATTAGATCGATTGGATGGTTGTGTTTCAAATACATTTTATTTCAGACAATATGGAATTCACATTATAGTTCATTTTCAATGTATTTGGAATTCGCTCTAGTTTGGTGAGTTCCAAATATATAGCTTGTACAGTGATGTCGATTGCTTTCGTTACCACGGGCCACCACCTAATGCTATTTGTCAACCGCCATCGACCATTCACACCCATCGTTTCGGGCCACCGCCACTGCCAATCCAATCTTTGCTGCTCATCGTTTCTGCCCGTCGCCGTTAACCACGTTCAATCAAATATCATTCATAATGTACTATTTTTTTACTCTGCATTCATTTTCGTCAAATGAAAAAAAAATGTAAATTTTTATTTGTAGTGTACTCAACCAACTGTAATGGGTTTTCATTACGCTAATTTTACTTTATACTTTATTTTTTTTACATTGCAATCCCTTTTCATTAGAACAAACTACCCCATAGTTTTTTTCCTCCAGGCAACATGCATCTTTGGCTAACATCTTTTAATCATAAGAAAGTTGAGAAAACCTTTAGTTTTTTTTTCTGTATTTTTGTATTTTTTTTTATGAATATGTAATGAATCATTAAATCATTCTTTTTGTTTTAATTATTGGTCCAATGGTGGTTCCGGCGGTCGAGCCCTGACTCCGTCTGATTTGGCTATTCGACTGGTGGGTCGTAACTGGGCCGACGATTGAATGAGGATAATGATATATTTGTTATTATACATGTTTCTATTTTATTAAGTACTTGTTGTGTGTATTAGTTATTTTGTATTATATTTTATATTTTATTGTTTTATTCTTTTTTTTTTGCTCTTTATATTTAATTCTTTAAGCTGCAATAATGCGTGGCTTTTGAATGGGATGTTGCTCCAATATTGGAAAGCGAGATTGAAAATAACCTTGAAGAGGCATTTTGGAAAAGATATCTTAGTGATTTTTTTCAATGAGTTGTGGGATAGACTGATGTTTATTTTAATTTTAGGTTATTTTGTTTTCCATAGGAGCATTCACTTGGTTAATTGCATCTTGCGTTCAATTTTGAGAACAATCTTGAGGACAAATGGTGATAAGCTCATGCCTAGGGCTCAAGTACTAGGATGAGTTACATTTTAAGGATGTTTGATCAAAGTTTGTCTGTGGGTAACAACCGACCTTACGAGCAACCAAGTTCTAGGGAAACTCTTGAGAATTTATGTAAGAATGGAGAGAAAGAGTGGAAAAAGTACTATAGAAAATAATCCACTGGCTCGAATATCTACAGACAAGTGCTAAATGGTACAAAAGATCCAAAATATTCTTCTTCACTTCTTATTTATAGGGACCAAGGGCTATAGGAAATGCTACATCAATAGACAAATAAAAATATATAAGATAATGAATTGTAGTACAGTCTGTCCTATACATGTGTCATATTTTGACTGACTTGATGGATGATTACTTATCTTAATATTGTTTCTCAATCTTGAGGAGAGTAGGGCGAGCCTACTAGTGAGTGTTGAGCTGAGAGGGTTGTAGCTAACTAGTATCCCAAGGTTATTGGCAACTTATAGTGGAGATTTGGATTGCTTAGGAGTAGGAGGTGAGTGTGTTTAGGTTGTGGGGATGATAAGTTTTGTGGTTGGTTTTCTATAATGGGCGAGCTGGAACCCTCTTAGTTGGATGCTTTTTTGTAGCTAAGATGATGGTGTAGTTGGAAGCATTTTGTTATGGATAGCGGCAAGTGGTCCTCCCTTGATGGAGAGCGTGTGATGAATTGAGTGATATGTAATGATCCTTGATTGTCCTTACGAGAGGAGACTCCCTTATGAGTGTCCTGTTGAGTTACGTTTTATGGCCCTTGGGCAAGCTCTCTTGTGGGCTCATAAGATATGACTTCATTTGCCATAACTCGAGCCAAAACATTTCTAAGCTCATTCCTTGGGCTCAAGTGCTAGGATGAATTACATGTTTGATTACAAACCTGATAGAGCTCCTAATTTAATGGATTTGGACTTGGTTGGGGTTGTCTTAAAGCTTGTATGAGCTAAGGTTAATTGAGTTTGGCTTGTCTTAATTTAGAGCTTGCATACTAGCCCAAGGTTGGGCCAATGATGGAATTGATCCCCAAGCTTAATTTTAAGTTCAATTTGATCCTTGGGCTTAGGTCATGATTATTAGGCTAAGATCATGATTATTGGACTCAATTTTGATCTTAGATTAGGATTAGGCTCAACTCATGATATCATGTTGCAATAGGGGTATGAGTTTTTTGAATTGGATTAATTTTGAGGCGGAAACCATGGAATTTAATGTATGAAGTCAAATTTGGTTGAGTGAACATCATTATGTGGTTTAAAAGCCTCTAATTAAAGGCTAGGATCCTAATTGGCTAGGCTAAGAGCCACTTGAGCTTGACGAAGGCCTAATTAGCTAATTAAGGCTAATTAACTTATCATCATTGAGTTGTGTGGGTTAATTACTACATTTAGATTTGTGATGAGATAATTAATTCGAGCTTATGGATTGATCACTTGACGAGATTCAGATGAAAGATGCATAATTTAATTGAGTTAGCCTAACGTAATTTTGGGGTACCCATTTAATGCTGATTAAGGTTGAGTTTCATTCTATTTGAACTATGGACTCATGAATCTAGTCAAGTCATTGGGTCAATTAAGTGTTCAGTGACATGAAAAAACCCAATTTAGGCCATATCAGCCAAGATTGGGCCTGATTTGCTTAATTAAATCAGTTGTGATTGAATAAAGTTTGATCAGAGGAAGTGGGACCAACAAGTTCTTTTTTGGTCTTTTGAGTGTATCTAACTAGATTCAAGTAATATTTTGTCATAATTAATTATGATTAGAGGGGTTTGATTAAGACCCAATAGAGGCTCTTTCCATCATCATTGTCAACTTAGAATTTAGAACGGATATAGGGTCAACTGGGACTGAGGGTACACTTTTTAAAGTCTCTTAGGTTGAGCTAGATCCCACATGACCATATTAGGAGGACATTTCAGGGACATATTAGGCTAATAGGGCTTGTTTAGGCCATTTAGGATTAGCCTGTTTTACTTATGTTAGTTTAGAACGAGTATGTTTATAGAGTATTCATTCAAGTTTATTGAGCGTATCTAAACTAACATGGATTCAGTCCGGGTCAATTAAGAGAGTCAAGGTTAATTATGACTTAAGGGTTTTGATTGGGACTCGTTAGGGTGTACATTAAGTCCTCCCTATCAACTAGGCCCAACTTAGGGCCAATTAAGACACTAAGAGAACCCATTAGAATCCATTTAGCTTACCTATGGTTAATTGAGTTGTTCTTGACCCGATTAGGTCACTTCAGTACAAATTGGGGATTGTTTGGACAATCAGAACTAGCTTTTTCAATTCCATTTAGCATAGGTTAGTCAAAACTCGGTGAAGCTGATCTGGTCCTTTTTTTTGCATTGGGTCAATTGGGATATCATTGGATGAGCATAATGGGATCTACAAGATTGTGTTCTATTGCGATTGTGGGAGTGATGGGGGTTGCCCATTGGTTTGAGGACACATTAGGTCTTACAGGACTATTGATTCAGTGGTAGAGTTGATTGAGTTAATTGGAATCATATTTAGTCAATATAATATATCCACAAGATTGTGTTGAGACTACCGTGATTGGGGAATCAAGAAGATTGTTCATTCATTTGGGGTCACGTTGGTTATGCATGACTGCATGACTATTGATTTAGTCGAGAGATGACAGGCTTATTCGGGCTAAACCATAGGCTGATCAGAACTCGATGGACCTCTGGAATTTTTAGAGGTCAACAGTTGAGTATGCCAATTTTTAAGTAGCTAAATGTTTCTGTTGTATATTTTGTTAATAACTAGTGCTATTGAAATACAGTTTCAAGAGGAGAGTGTCTTGCTTGTAAACTTTAGCTTTGGCTGGTTTATGAGCTTGAGTTCCCTATTGATGCATTTTTCTATAGTTAAGAGTTTGAGAGGAGCTTTTCAAACTTTAGAATAGATTTGTTGGAACTTGGCTTAGGTACACCTGAGATTTATGGTAGATATTCAGTTGTTTGGGTTGAAATAGAAAAAAAAAAAAAACGTTGTGAGATGTTCTGATCCGATCATAATTTTTTTAGGATAAGTGTTAGATCTTTGGATTTATTTTGAGATGAGTGTAATATAAAAATTAATTGATTATTATTTTATTGTACTTATATCAAAGAAAATTTAAATATTTTGAAACTCATCCTTTCTTGAGTTTTTATTTGTTGAATAGTTACTCTGGACAAAGCTATA